CAAAATAGACAAAGTCAATGAAATAGTAGAAACTAACAGGTACCCATCAAATTCTTACTGTATTTTGGGTTATTCGGAAATGGGTAGTGGTGTTACTTAGACTTTGCATGAAGTGTTTTGCTGTCTCATTTGCCATCAAGCCACACCTACTGGGGTAGCGCAGCAGATGGTAAGCAGATGCTGATTCAGTGGCTCTGATCAACCAAAGCCATGCAGTTAGGCGGTGGCCTGAACGCTGGTCTTCTAGCTCAGAAGCCCAGCGTTCTCTGCCCCAGGGTCCAGAATTGCTCCTGTGCTTAGAAGAGTGTGTTTCTGCTGTTCAGTGGCCCATTCACAGTCAGCTCATTGGCTGCCAAAGACCCTGGCACGTTTTAGCGTGTCCTCAGATACGGGGGCTCACCTGAACTGGATCCCACCTGTGTTCTGTGACTGCATGCTGCAGCAAAGGGTTCATGGCTTTCAAGGAAGCTTGCTTGCCGTCACCCCTTGGCTTCTTCTGGAATTTTTGATAAGCCTCTGGGGAATGTTGGAGTTCCAGGGAGCACAGTGAGCTGCCCTTTGATCATTCAAGTGATGGCTGCAGCTCAGCATGTCATCCAAACCCTGTGGGGGCGGGTTGTTACCATGGTTAAAAATATAACCCTGAAATAGCCCATTGGTCTTGGTGCCTTTTTAATCCTGCAAACAATCTACCCTGTGTTGGATTCTGGTGATGCAACACACGCAGGCACAGGTTGAATATTCAGATGTTGCGTGGCATGTGCTGCAACCCCTTGCGGCTTAAATATGCCCCACGCCTCAGTGGGCTGCAGTGATTGTGCAAACCCCATTCATTTTTTCTACAACAGTCACTTTGAATCCTGTACTAAATGCTCTCTCCCTCTCACCTGTAGGCCTGACAGCAAGAACTGGCAGTACCAAGAAACCATAAAAAAAGGAGACCTGCTGCTAAACAGAGTGCAGAAGCTTTCTAGAGTAATTAATATGTAACTTAAAAAGGGGGGGGGTGCATATTTTGGCAACCGTTTTGGAAGTAATTATAACTGTATTGTATAAGTTGTTATACTGTGGCTAAGCAAAAGGCAACCACACTGTAGTTAGGGTTTTTACAGGCTACTTCACTCTGTAAACAGAACTGTGTACATGTTCCATTCATGTTTTCTGATCAATTTCATTTATTAAATATATAAATACAATTGTCTGTCTGGTTTAATTATTGAGTTGTTTAAATGGATTTAAAGCCTAGTGCTAGAATTTGCCGTCCAAGATTGAACTAGAATGAATGAATTAAATAAATATATGCTCGTTTTGGGGAGCTTATCAGGTGGTTGCAGCTGCAATCTGGTATACTTGTTTGGGATACTTACCTTGCTGAGGCTGACTCTTGACTAGGCATGTTTAAGAAAGCCCTGTAGCCTGGCATGGTTTTACTGCTTAGGCGTCTGAATGCTGAACGTTACCCAGCACTGCTGCTTCAACTCTGCAGGCTCTGCCATGAGCATCGCAGGGAACAATGTTTTCCGAAGGAGACCTGGAAATGAACAAAAAATCTTGGTAGGCTGGGTCAATGGAGCTCCCCTCCGTGAGCTCTGTTGAGCTGTGCCGTTCTGGAACAGGGCTTCCTCTCATTTCTGCTTGCTGCCAGGGACTGTCTGGCTCACATTGCATTAGCAGTGGATCCTGCTAGCAAGCAGGCAGGGTTGGATACTGCCAAATGCGCATAGGCACAAAAGCTGCATGAGATGAAAATGGAACTTGGCTTTGAAAGAGCAGGCTCCTCCATTGTAGCCAGTGAGCCTGGACAGTTTACACACACACAAGTAAATGTACTGGTTCAATAAATGGTTGTCATAATTCTGAACGGGAGTGGGCTTGTTGAATGAATAGGGAGAGTTGTATTTGAGGGAGGATGACAGAGCAAAAGCATGGTAGTGGCAGGTAATGAACAGAACGACTTCGGCTTCAGAATAGCAGAAGATAAGAGTATAAAGTCTGAGGAAAATGGAAGAACTCGGGGTGTGATAATTTGGGACCTCTAGTATATACGATTTTAGTGGTTGCATTCTCAGGTGCCTCAAAAGGGTGGGGTGTGAAGCCCAGAGAGAGGTTGTGAAGCACCGCTTCGTTACAGTCAACTCTAACACGCGGCAGCCACGGAGCTCTGCAGATCTGCTCCTGCAACCCTTTCAACGAGGGGATGCCCATTTGGCCCCTTCCCAGTTAGTATACTACCTTTCTGTTTAGAGCAGGGATCCGCTGAAAGGATCCCCAGTGTGGCATTTGTGGGCTCTTGCAAAATCCCTCCCTTAATATATATAAATGGATTTTTAAATATCCATATGTATGTATGACATACAGACAACTTTTGAGGAATTTTGCAAAAAGCAGACCAAGTACAGTACTCAATTAACCAGCACCCATTGGGATTGGTAGATGCCAAATAAAGGTAGTTTCTGGTTGCTTGAGAATTACTATTAAAAATAGGCCTAATACTATATACCATACCATAAACTCTATTGATAGGAATATTGAAATATGGTAATTAAAAGCAAATTAAGACAAACTTCTGAGACCAAGCCTTGATGTCATAGATCATTGATGAACCAACATTTCCTCCATGAGCACTACACAACTCTCAGCTTTCTCAAGCCTCTTGCATATTTTCATCTTCTGCTTGAGAGTAAGCACTCTGCATTTACACTAACTTGGGACATGTTTTGGCATACTTGGGGTTGGATGAGAACACAAAATCTGAATAGTATATTTACGCACAGTGAATTGGTGGGAGACAAACATGGTGTGTAGTGTGGGTTTATTCATGGCATGGTGTGCCAAGTTTAAATGTACATTTCTGCTATAAATTTAACTGATGTAAAGTATTAATTCTTCAATTTAGTTAGCTGGTTGCTTGAGTTCCGGTTAACCAATAGTCTACTGTACTGGGGGGGGGGGGGTGTCCATATGCTATCCATTCAAATAGTGAAAAGTGTTGAAAGGTCCCTTGCATTTTAGAAGGTGACTGTTCATCCCTCCAGTTCTGTAGTAATCTATTAACAGATGTCTCAGAAAATACATTTGCAGTTTTCTTAGATAAACCAAGAAAGCATGTATGTCAGTGACGATTGAGAACCATTGCAGTACACAAGTTTAAAAGACACATTAGTTGTATTACACTGCCAGCAGTCAGCTGAATTAGACATTCCCTTGTTAAAGAGACATTGTGGTGTCTAGTAAACATGGAAAATGAATGTTTTTACTGAATAAGGCATAGCATATGATCTATAGATGTGATGGACAGACGCCAAACTGTCAATCCACTGATTAAGCATTGAGGCTTGCAGCAGTTTCTTAGATTCCCAAAGGTCCAAAAAGTTTGGGGAGTTGGCTTCTAAGAAGCTTGAGCAAGTTTCAGGTGTCATGTTTGGCATTCATTTAATAAGAATTATTTGCCTATTTTGTGTGTCTGTTTTAGTCTGTGTCCAAAAGGGATCAAGAGATGTTCCTGTGACAGGAAGCTCATGATCTGTTAAGAATCAAGTGGCTTGTACAGCATATACTCTTCTCTAAAACCCATCTTGACCTTGGTCCTCACAATTAAATACTTAACCCTGTAATGATTAAATAGTTCAGAAAGGCCTTTGCTTCCTTTGTAGACTTCTGTTGTTGTCTTTATATCACAGGGGTGAGAAAGTGTCTTCCTGAACCCAGCAAGAACAGAAAAAGGAATGGGTGGGTGGAAGTACTTTAGAAACGGTCTCTATGGTTCATGCCACAGAAACCTAGAGCTTTCTAGGAAATTGCTGGAAGGCTCCTATTAGGATGTTCTTGCAACAAGACTTCAAGATCCGTGGGATGTGTGAACTGGCTTCAACAGGAATGGATTAGAGGGAGAACATTTGAGAATTGAAGTTACTGGAATCAATGCTAGTTTTACCTGACCAAAGCCTCTGAAGCATTCCTGAGCAGGGTTTTGCGTGTATGCAGCTGTCATGCCCAATGGGTTTTCTCTCTCCAATATGTTAGGATAACTGTTTCTAATCTATTTGATCAGTGAGCATCCTGTCATTATAACCTTTGTGAAGAATGTTTCATGGAGCCCCATTATCACTTAAAGATATGGTCTCTCAAAAATAGCTAACATGCCTAGCTTGTTTGTAGAGGCAACCACACAGGAGAGAGCTTATCTTGATTAGGCAACCATTCATTAAAGCAGATGCAAAATTTAGAAAGTTCAGTCTCACAAGAAATGGGGGGAGGCACAGATTTTGGCAAATTGACATTAGTGGTCATTCAGTTTCTTCTAAATCAGTCATAAATAGGAATTGCTAGAAATAGCTAGGAACACCTTTCACTTAATGGCAGTTGCAAAGTGCTCTTACCAACTTCTGTCAATAGTGTTAAAAATAAGGAGCAGTGTAAGTGTATGACTGCACCTGGATGGGCTTTGTGGGCAGCCAGAAACACTGAAATGTTCATTACATCTGAATGGGTTCCAGCCTAGCACAGATAGGCTGCATTCTCCAGGCCTCAGGGAGGGAGAACTGACACATCGTGTGTCGCTTAATAGCCAAACCCGCTTATGCCTCAGAATCAAGTAGGAATGGTGCTAACATAAGGTCAAGGCAGAATGGAGATAGACAGTATCTTGGGTCTTGGCTTGTAGTATAGGTATGCCCTAATTAAATCACTATAGTATTTCTTTCTGTTCATAAAGCCTGTCGAATACACCCCAGAAGTGGTGGTAAGGAAGTGCTAAACCTTTTCCAGCTGCTAGAGCCGCAGGGCTCAGCTTGGTTTCTTTGCAAGCCAAAACTAGCATGGCCTTGCTATCCCCTTAGCTTTCCCCTTAGCTAATCCCAATTTTTGCTGGTCCTCCTTTTGAAGCAGAAAAGTATTGCGTACCTCATGGAAACATCTTACTCATTGAATTGCTTTTGTTTTAAGAAACATCTTGCTTTATTCAAGGAGCTAATTTTCTGGTCAGGAAGCAAAAGCACAACTTTTTTCTTATAAATAGTATAAATTATTTTATTTACAGAAACTTGTTACAAAACAAATAGACTATATATTTATTTTCTTCTTTTAAATATCCAAAGTAATTTTTTTCTATTTCATGACATTTGTTCAGGTACTATACAGCAGCCAACACAAAAGTTCAGCTTGGAGCAGATGCTCTTGAATATGTATACAAATTATCAAACTATTCACACATTTTACACAGGAGATTGCTTCCCCCCTCCCCCTCCCCCTCTGTGGAGCCAGGCTCAACTCCAAAAGCAAGAAGCTTCCATGGCCTACATTCTCATTGACATTATGTAGTGCTCATTAAAAATAATAATAATAATAATCACCTTTCATAAAAAGTAGGATATTTTGCACACAGCATTTAAAATAACTGGTTTTCTGCTGAAGCAGAACCATCTTTTCAAGTCCAACCCCTTCACCGTACAATTTCCCATTCCCAAAAAGACAGAACTAAAAGAATCCTTGGCAATAACAACTCTTGCCGGAAGACAACTTACCAGAAGATGAAGTGACACTACAAGCACAAGCATCTTTCCTGCCCAATCCTTATTGGCATGAAAAGGGAGTTGTGCCTTTGCAAAACTCCCACTCACATCAATGAGGTTTGTGTGCAGATGTTGTTGGTGGCTTGTGTCAGTAGTTTGTAAAATTGCTTTGAGAGGTAACTTACTTTTTCCCATAATACAAAATAATGTCATCATTCTGTATTTAACATTTAGAAGTTATTTGAATTTACTTGCTGAAAAGTATCTCCAGAACTCTTGGCATTATTTATGAACTGGGGACTTGCTTCACTCTGATCTTTTGCTTTGTTCCCCTGCATCCTCTCCCCCTCATTAATGGAAAGTCATATGTAGGTGGGAAAAGCAAGCTCCAATTTTTTTTTAAAACAGAACATTCAAGTCTTTAAAGGAGAAGCTGTCTAAAAAACAGTCCAAGCTTAAAATCTAAGTATATAAATCAGGCACTTTCAGTTTTTCCATTAGTTTTAAACCATATAAAGACACACACAAATGGGCGCACGTGTGGGCACACACGTGTGCACACATACACACAAATGCTAAAAAGAAAAAAAAAGCAGTGTGTCACAACTAAATGTAGTCTTCTGGGACTCAGGCAACTGTAAGCAATGCTATGTATACCAGAGGAGGCCAGCAACATGCAGCCAAATGCCACGCAGCCCCCCCCCACTCAGAAGGGTGGCCTCTGCGGGCACGGAGCAGCGGCATCAGGCCCTTCGTTTGTATCCAGCAACTCCCGAGACATTAAAAAGGGATGCAGCTCCCCCCCTCCCAAAACAGAGGCATCCCTTAAACGCTGCAAAGTAGGCAATGTTAACTATTGGCTTGGCAGTGAACCACTTCAAATTATAAAAAAGGGTATTTGCTTTTTTTCCTTTTTAATTAATAAATACTAGATGATTTTCAGTTGTACCAAAAACTGGATATAAGAAAAAAAGACCTGTGCAAAAATACATATTTAAATATGTACAATCAATTAACAAAATATGTCTTCTGAAATAGGGATACTTCAATATTTATAATAGAACAAGAAATTCCAAAATAAAGATACAAAAGTATGGGTTTCATTATTTTTGTATAATTCTTTGTTCATCATTGCAACATTTTAATTTTTTTTTTAGGTTAAGAAAACTGCAGGAGTCATAATGAGAAGCTGGAAAGACTATAAAAAAATTGTATCTCTTAAATTAATACCAAAATCTTTCTAAGAAATAACCCAGTCACAGCAAATCTTGCAAGATAAATTAAATTTGAAATTTCCTTAATTATTTACAATAAGAATGTTGTCGGACAATAAAAGCTTCAAAAACAATTACTCCATTCATTACTGCCCCCCAAAGGAATTGTTTGTACAATAGATGAGTCTACACTTTGAGGGCAGGCATAAATCTAAGATGTCCTCTGGTTCTACTGATGGCAAGTTTTGAAATCATAAGCCGCAACAGTCAGATACAGGACACAATTCCACTCTGGAATGGCGCTTACATAAGCCCCACTGAATGCACTGACCTGGGATTTGTGCAAAAGCGTGAAGGTTTTAGTGGGACGCTCCCATTCCTTTCAGCATGGCTTGTGATGCAGACATTCACAGTGGGAATTGGATCTGTAGCTGCAACCCATTTAAATTGAGCACAGTGGTAAAACGCTGAACATTTCACAGAGATCTGCACGTTTTTAAGGAGCCTGGGACTTGCTTTGATGCTTTTAGAGCAACATAATCTTTATAAAACAAAGAGACATTTTTGAATACTTAAAGCCACTAAGGTTTAACTTATGAAAAATTTGTCAGCCTTCGAAGGTAAATCTATCAAAACCAAATTGCACTTGTGATTGAAAATATCCAACACACAGGATGGAGCTTGTGTTGATTTTCTCTCTGCAGAGCAGATACATTACTTTGGTTGTCCCCTCCCGCTTCCCAGATAAGCCAATTAAGAGGTTTTTTTTTAACATTTTAGAGTATCCACTATAAACTGAAGGGTTGTTTAAAACTCCCCCTTCCCTCAACATGCACTCATGTTTAATATTTGCATAATCATCACTCTCCAAAGTATTCTCCTCCTGCTTAAAACCAACACATGATCTTTTGTGAATTCAAGGCTTTAGAGTTGTCTGCATAGTCTTGTTGCTTCACTGTGTTTTGATAATTCAGTAGCAAATTTCATGGTGATTTAAAGACCTAACAGGTAAAAACCAACAAACAACGCCCCCCAAGCAGCTGCTGCTTGTGGCGGCTTTAGAATCCCTGACGTGCAATGCACCACCTTAGTAGGGAGAGAGAGGCTGGGCTGTGTGAACTAGAAAGGCTCAGATTGTCTAATGGTGCCCCTTTAAGGCAAAAATCTACAGGCACATTCATTCCACTGAGAGCTTCTCCTGCACAGGCCCTGTGGATTCAGAAAGAGTTCTTCTTCAATGGGCCAGTCAGCATGAACCTAACACGCTGCTGTGGCTTATTTAAATTGTGGTGTGAAGCGGGTGCGGATTTCATAGTCGCTACCCAGCTGGGCTTTATGTCATCTGAACCTGGGTGACCAGCTTTCTTGGACAAGGAAACAACCCTGCAATAGCCCATGTGTTATAGGAGCATTGTTTCCCTTTCCAACGAGATAGGCTGCCCTGGTTTTGACAACATGACAAGCTGTGACCAGGCTGCAATTATGAAAACAACGCCCTGCATGTGCTGCAATTTAAATAAGCTGCAGTTTGTTTGGATCAGGCAAACCAGGCTAATGAGTGGTAACTTTTTAGCTATGCTGTCAAGTAGTAGGAATGAAAGTGAACTAGGTAATCTGATGAAGTCCCAAGCTGCAATGAATTCTACAGATGCCCCTGTGAGAAGCTGGGAAAATCTAGCATGCTGAAAACGAATCCATACATAGTTCTTGCCCTCTGCCAATGTAGTCTGTATGATTGGAACAGTGAGTTCTCATTGAAAAGGAAATGGCTGTCCGAATCCACACGCTCCACTAACATGGAGAGGAAGTGCATTTTTGTAGACTCACCAAGGAAAGCTCCCCATGGATAATGCGCTACAGTTTGGGTTTATACTGTCTCTTCACATAAATTCCAAGCTGTGTTTCAAGATTCACTACTGTTACAAACAACCAAGTCTAGTGATATTTAAGCCCTTCTCAGGATTTTGCTTTCCATTTTTTCCCCTCATGGAAGTAAAAGGACCACTGGGATTGGATGACATGTTTAAAATACTCCCCGTTTGCTCACTAAATGGCAACAGAAGGGATGCATTTAACACTGTACTCAGAATTTGAACTGGCACTGAATCCAGTCATCAGAAAAACTGAATATGGACTTTATAAAATGGGGTGATAATTTATTTGTAGGAAAAATTTGGTTGTATCAACCTACTAGAAAGTCTCTCCAGAAAAACAGTACTGAGAATTTGCGGTTCAGTTCTGTAAGGTTTGTGTGTGTGTGTGTTTCTAAAGATCAGATGTTACAACCAACTTAGCTTGGCATTTTCTGTTTTACCCACCCACCTCCCCCAAAAAACAAAGGCTTATGGCATACAGTATAGGTCAAGAAATATATTCTTTGGGAATTGATTTAGAGGTCATTCACCATTTTGAATATGGATGTTTTGCATCTGGGTTTTTCAGGGTGTCTATTTTTTTAAGTCAAAGAATTTTCTTCAAAATCAAGCAGGCATAGCCCTCCTCCAAACAATGCCACTGTGCAGCCTCCCTTGACTTCAAAGGACCTTGTACAGGAGTCCCACACAAGCTCCATTGCAATGAGCAAAGGATATTAAGCAGCTGTTCCTGGTGGATAATGCCTGTCAAATTGTTCTGTACCACATGATCTTCACTATTTAAAGAGGGTTCTTACTTTTTGCATGCTGGCCACAAACATTTGAATCTGCTTTTTTAAAACTCCTGACAGCTTCTTATCCCAAATTACTTGCAAAATGCTGGGCAAAATGTAGACTTCATTTCTAAATTGTGCTATCTTTGCATTCCAATCAAGGAACGTTGCTATAAAACACTAAAGCCATATTCCCTTCTTGAGGGCATCTTTTTATTGTGCCTGACACATTGTGCCCCCTTCTCGAGGGGTTTTCACTGGATAGTGCCAACATGGTGGTCAGTTATGCCTATGACACCATCAGAACAAAAGAAAAACAAGTCCACAGTAATGTTCTTTCCCAAACATTGCTCTGCCCAACCAATCTAGAACAAATAGTGGCAAAAGGAAGTACTCCTGTAAGTAATATCTCACAGGGATTTGTAGCAAGCTGTCCAGACCACTGGTAACACTGATAGGAACACTCCTGTGGCTGAACGGCAATCCAGTGTCCATTTCCAAGCGTCACTGCTACAGACATGGCTTGAGGGAAACTCCTTGATTGTGTGACAGTCCAGTAGATTTCCACACCTGAGGACTGTGGGAAGCTGGGAGAACTCAAGGCATCTTGGAGTCCAGAATTTCCAGATGGAGATCTTCGCTTGTAGTGAAAATAATCCAGTTCTATCATGGTGTTGTCAACTGTTAGGGACGAGCCTTTGGCTTTGACACAAATGGGGAAAGAAAAAAAAGAATAAACAAGCAAGAAGTAGGTCAAGTGGCAAAGCTATATTAAATTATACAATCTGAGATACCATAACATGCTTTGGCAAAATCTAACAGGTAGCAGCCAAACATTTTGTCTGTTTGAAAGACTGAACTTTTAATATTCCTCTTTAATCAATCTAGACTTGGTAATAATATTTTATAGAGTATAAGAATAGTTATGTTTTGTTGCAACATCAAGCAGAAAGAATCAACTTTCTTTCATGCCAAAGGAAGAGCAATGCCAAAGGAAGAGCATTATCAAGAGGGCTGACAATCAAGAATAGTTTCCAAACTTCAATAAGCTTACTGATGAACAGAATACATGGCTTTGTTCCGCTAGCCAATTCTACAGCCTGGGCCAGAAATTATTCTCCACCTACTTCACTGAGGTTTAGCACTGCCAAGCCCACAATCACTAGATGTTCACTTACTAGCAGGCTGACTGCTTTTGGTGGCTAGATTGCTATTCTATCCGGGAATTACTGAACTGTGAGGCTCAGGATGCCTGGTTGTTGTAACAAGTACAAGATCTTTCTTGGCTTGCGCAACAGCTTCCAAAAAATAATCACAGTGCTCAGTAATGTTCCTCCTCCTAGAAGGGGGCAAGAAGATTTGAATCTCACTAAAATCCGTACGGCACTAACACAATTTACACAGCAGAGTCTATTGCAACAGCACGCCTAGCCATTTCCAAAACATGTGTGATTCAGTCTTTTGGGCTAAATGCTGCGGGCAGTGAGAATGAAAAGTCCAAAAGCACACAAGAATCTTTGTATTTCTGTAGCTGACAAGAGGAAAGCCTTGCAGAATAAGTGGATTCCTGGTGTATCACACCATTTTTCACTAAAAAGCTGGAGAACATGGAATGAAAACATGCTTCTAAAATCTATGAGTTTATGAAATGCAACAGCTTTCTTTGAGAAAGAAAAGTTTATAAAAGTTTACATAGACCAAAACTTGAAATACGTAACCAAATTTTTGGGCATGGCAACATCGTATATACAATATAAAAATACACACTGTGTTCAGAACGAATCTTTGTCACTATATGGCCCAAGTAAGACTTCATACCTGATGAAGGATTGAATTGTTCATCAGCCCTTGCGTCCCAGGGATTGCACCGGTATGTTTTGTGTGAATGTTGTTCACCGGCGGCAATTTGGCAACCTTGTTTGCTTTGCTGCTGCTGCTGTTTATGCTGCTTGAACCAGGCGAGGACTTTCTTTTCTTTCCTATGAATTTATCTAGGGAAGGATGCGAATGTGAAAACCCGCTGTGTGAGTTTACTGTCAGTTCGCTCGACTGGTGAATAAACGGCCCCAACGAGAGAGTGGAATCGCCGCTGTTCACCATCACACTCATTCTTTTTATCGATTCTGCAGGGCTCCCAGCTGGAGGGCCCCTCCCTGATTGGTCATGTTTGAGGCTAACTGAGTTAGCTTTACTAGTCACACAATTGAGGCCAACACTGTGGGATGAAGACGTCATAGGCGAGTGATACGAAGCCCCAGAGTTCCCACAGTTAACCACACAGTTTTTCCTAAAGGACTCTGTGGAATGAGAAGAAGGTGCTGGCAGCGCAGAACTGTTTTTACGCTTCTTTCCTGAGCTGCCGCTACTGCTGTTGCTACTGGTACTGTTACAGTTGGTGCTGCTAGCAGAAGATTCCTTAGGCTTAAAAGACTTGCTGGATTTTAATTTTTGAGGTTTGCCAGACAGAGGTGAAGGTACTGAGGAAAGCACTGGAGGTGTTGAAGGGGATGTCGACACTTGTCTTGATTGCATACTGCAGGCAGGTTCCGCTGCACCAAAACTAGCAGGGTTGGCATTTAGCGTAGTCCCATGGGATGGTACCGATTTACTGCTCAGAGACAGACAGGAAGGAGACACGAGCACTGGTGAGGACATAGCCGTGGTGGGTAAAAGAAAACTTGTCGTGCTGGTGCCATACTGTGACACAGGTGTGGAGTTTGTCCGGTGTGGAGCACGTACGGATGCAGTGTTGCTTGTCGCTGGAGGAATTTTCCTAGAAGGCAGAAAAAGCAGGTAGCATGCTTTGCAGATAATTCTATTTTGCCCACTTTAAAAAACAAGTTAGACTTCTTAATCAAAAGAGACTGGTATGATATGCCTTCACAATCAATACGTCCATTTTGTATGCAGCACTATGTGAATGGGTACCATGAACAGATAGGGCCACTTGAGGAACCCACCTAGTTTAACTAAGGTTGGTTCGCTGCAGAGAGCCAGCTTCCTTGCTCAATAACCTAGATACTGAATTTTGAGGAACACAAGGAATATTCCCTCATGTTATCAAGCATATTTGCTTAAGTCTTGTGCACATGGCACGTCACCCGGATTTAGAAGTGAGATGGGAAACCATCAGCCTGTAGGCCTACTCCAGTCCACAGAGATTCCTCATCTAGCCTGTGGAGATCACCTTGGATTACATGGATGAGCAATGCTGTTATGTCAGAGGTGTGGGGGGTGGAGTGACCTATCCAGTGATGGGAGGAGCTGCTCCTTCCAGCTCTGGCCAAACCTATTCTCAAATGCCACATGTCATTCCCATAGGGAAGATGCACTTTCTGAACCTCCCCTTTCTAGGAAAGACGCGGCACAAGTAAAGTGGAGTTGACTGTGGTACCAGCTGGAATGCTCCAGTAGTCACTTCTCAGTAGAGGTGGCTTTCCCCATGGTCACTGTTCTTCCATCGGGAGAAATGTGGCACAGCTGAGGCAGCCCTAGCTGAGGTGGCAGGTGCAGGCATTGCTCAGCCAGGAATGTTTTGCTGCACATGGGCTTCCTCCCGCTGCAAAGCCAGTCCCCAGCCATAGTGCTGGGTGGAGCTCAGCTGGTACTTCAGATTGGATTAGCACATGCAACCATCATAAAAGCGGTCATGTCCAGAAAGTCACGGATTACTTCCATTAACTTAGAAATTGTTAATACTGCTTGGGAACCTTCCTTAATTGACAGCCAACAATAATAGGTACTTTGCTCCTTCATCTTTTCTGAAAATGAAAACACTTAATAATGAAATATATTACAGTCTGTTCAGTTTCTACTCACTTCCACATCTGCGAGTTAAGATGCTTGTCCACCATGACATTAAGTGCACATCGGATATGGTTCCATCGTTTATCAAACACGTAGTAACCTCTTCCAATTTGTCGACTACCAAATGTGCAAAACTAGGGGGAGGGGGAATATTCATTTTAGTTATTTTCCTAACTGAAATTTGTATGTTACCAAATATATACTAATCCAAGATGGACATAACAGTTCCAATAAAAGAACACAGTGAAAAAGGGTCATAATTGTTTATTCTGGTGAGTAAGTTTCATATGTCTCTATACCAGTTGAGCCAGTCTGGTTGCTGGAGAATTTTAGGGCTCATTTAAGCGTTTTGAAGTCTCCTTCATATTGCTGGATACTCAAAACAGCATATTCTGCCTCATAATAGTTTAAGGACTAGTGTAGCAACCATGACTAAACCCAAAGACCACAATATTTAGCAGTGTTAGAAACCTTCTGCTAATTCGCAGATTTGAAGCACAAAGCAGCCTCTCTCTCTTAAGGAAGAATAACCTGGAACTTACGGCAGCTGGTTGAGGATGATGATCTGAATAAAGACAATCCAGTTTTTCAACAGGCTCTTCTTTTTCGTCACATTCTCCCTCGTCACTGGATAACCGAGATGCTGGCTCAGTTGCAGGCAGAGGACCAAGTGGAGATTCATGGACTGATGGAGACTCGCTAGGGGCATTCCCACTGTGTTGGGCTGGACAGCCTGAAGGCCTTCGTAAGAAGGAACAATTGAATACATGCAGTTTAAGGACTGATTTAAAACTCTGCTTAATAATAGCATTGGATGCAGCTTTCCAATAGCAGTCTCTGAAATAAGCAGTAAGTATATCCCCACTGGGTTTGAGACAAGCAGTTTATCAAAGCAAATATTAGGGCAGAGCAGTGTGTGTAGTGTCGAAGGCATTAAATGTTGTGACAAAAAATCTCGTGGCAATAGTGTGAATGATTGAGAGCAAAATACCCAGCTAGACATCCCCATTCAGCTAAGCCATGTACACTTCCTTGATTTCCTTGGAAGAAGCATGTTCATATAAATTTCCTTTCCTTCACTAATATGCTTACTAACAAACACTGTGGCTCTATGTTTTTTTTACCACTTCCTTTTAACCAGAATTCATCACTTCTGGTGTTAAATAGATGATACATTTCCAACCTTCCCTAGCAAGAGTACTCAACTGAACTGTTAAAAAAAACCTCTGAACTAAAGAAAAACAAAGAACATTTAGTTCATCTGCAATAGGCAAAGTAAGAAACCAGGAAGGAGAACCAATATAGCCAGGGGCAGGGATTAGGATGACCTGGATTAAATTCCCACTGGATCAGTATCTCTCTCAGTCTAACCTACACCACAAGGCTACCACGTATATAAAATGGGGGGAAAGGGACAATTATGAACACTGCCCCAAGTTTCTCAGAGGAAGCCTAGGATAAAAATAATAAAATTAATAAGATGAGAAAAGGACAACTATGGAGGCATGTACCTTACAATTAGATAAAACAAAACCCTCAAATATTGTGAGTTCCAACTTTCCTTTGTTATATAATTGAAACAGAACATTTAAAATATATCAGTAATTAGTCTAATAATTACAGGGAATTCACACAAATTCCCTGTAAAATTTAGGCAACATTCTAAATTCATGTTAAAATATATTTTAAATGGTATCAAAAATGTTAGCAGCACTCCATGAGGTTAGAAAGTTCACTTTTTGAATATATACATTTTTAATAAAAGATTTAACCACAAAGAACATACCTGCACATATACATAATTTCTTTTTTTAAAATAGTTAACTAAAAAAGGGCAATGCTTCTCAACTACTAAAAAGAAACTTGATAAACTAGACCACAATAGGACCAATAAATCATTGACAGTTGTTTTACATGGTCCTGTTTGTGACCAAATGGTTCCTGGATAAATTGTTCTTTGGCACTGTTCCGGTCACAGTTGCATGGGCTGTGGAATGTGGTACAAAATATATCTATGTAAATGTGCTGAGTCACACATTTATTTGATGGTTAACACCCAGAGAGGTTTCTTATATAGAAAATACACCTGAAAACAACCTAATTGGGCAATACTCAGCCTTTGATAACAAGGTAGAGATGCGTGAAGAATCCATTCTGGGGATGGGATTCTGTCAGATTCCCCTGGCTTGGCTCCCTGAACTCTGCCCCGCTTTCTTGTGACTCTGACACAGCACTGAGCGTTCATGCAGGTGCCTGCCAGGAATTGAGCCCGTGAGAATGCTGTACAAGCTGCGTCCCTCTTCTGTGCACATGACCTGTGAGCCTTGTTTGTGCTGCATGTGCTGTGAAGGAGGGTTGCTGGATTGTGCGAGAGGAGATCTGATAGCTTTTGCAGCCTTCCTTTCAGCTCAGCTCACTTTCTAAGCCAGGGCTGAGCAGAAGAAAGAATGCTGATAAATTAAAGAGGGCCAGTTTGGCAGGGTTGTCACAACCCTACTAGAAGGCCTCCTCTTCTTTTGCACATTTACATAATAATCTTTCCTCAAACCTACACAGGCTGCATAGAATACTTACTGCTTTACAGAATATATTTATTTGTTTTAAAACATCCTAAGGCCATATGCAACAACACACTTTTCTCACATGTTCTAGAGTGGCACTTCTACTCCCCAATTCAGAACAAGCTGCACAGAGTGGTCCCCACGCCCTTCACAGTTACTTCACGTTTACATTACTCAGTATGTGCTGCATACAAGGCTTCGAGCTTCCCAATTGTAAAACAGGTCCCAATGTCTTGAAAGCACCTTCGTGAATTCGTTATCTGGTCAATCTACCTCAGGCTTATATTAGTGATGGAGAACAGGAACTTTGAAGATTTATGTGGGAGCACATGCATATTATTAGTTACACTTTCAAGACCACCATATCTCTGATTATTACTGTGTAGCTATTTACGGGTTTTTTTTGTGTGTTTGTTTTGCTTTTCCCCTTTTTTTGTATATGTGTTTGTGGTTCCACTCTTGTGTTGTATTCTCAGCTGATTCTTTGCTGATGTTTAGTTTTGTTGAAAGACTATAAAAATCAAATAAAAATTATGAATATTAAAAAACTGGTTATTCTGCTGAATTTAATAAGCAGAGCTATTTTTAGGTCCACCAAAGGCTTGTGGGACAGTAACAAACTGACCAAGTTATGCTATCATCAGCGTGGGAGAGAGTGAAATCATTGTGCCAAAAACGGTACGGTACTTTGCTGAATGTAAACTTTAATTCAAATATCGGTCTGCAGCATGGTCCAGGGCAGATGTGATGATGAAAATAATTCATGATCTTCACCTTAAATGGGAGAGAAGGTGTGGCTTGACTGAAACAAATGGAGCAGGTAGACCGGACAGTCAAGTATGTGCCTGGCATGATGAAAAATGTCACTAGTTTTTCAAGTTTGCTCATCATAACATCCAACTTATGTTCAGATTCTACTTACCTTGGAAGACTGGGGGTGTGAGGTTTGGGTTTATTAGGTACTAAAGGCTTTGATTCTGTAGGAATAACTCCATGAGAATTTTGGTGCAGCTCCTGGGAAGTTCTTGAAGGTGAGGGATGTGGTTCCCTGAGAGGGGGCATCTGCTGATGATGATCCAAATGGCGGAGTAATTCTTTTTCCCTGGTTTTGCTTTTGTGCTCAGCTAGTAATAAATCAAATCGCTTCCTCCGACCCTGTACAGCTCTCCGTTGAGTTAGGGAATGTGTCTGCAAAATAAAAGACCAGAGATTACTCTAGGTTGAAGAAGAATTGTGGAAATTAATCATGGAATACATATGAAACAAACCCGTATAAAAATTATAATTATCTTAAGCAATTTACTAATGAAGAGCTTTATCAAGGTCCAGGTATATCCTTTTTGGCTTTAAGAAAACAAAACACATACATTAAAATCATTTATCCAGTGTTGTGGATGAGAAACAGAAGAGCAGTAAAAAGACAGAAAGCAATCTCTTCGTGGTGCTAGGAAATCTATATTTCCCAGTGAGGGAAGGCCTTGAAATCCAGGCATGTAGCTTTACAGGGTACTGACAGTTTATGAAGTTGTTTAGGTCACCCTGAGATTTGAAATTAGTGCTAAAGGGGGTAGCATTGGGAAAACAGATGGTGGTACAAAGATTTGGCCAGGATGAATCTCTGTTTAATCCTCAGTGGACAGGTTTGGAATGAAGAAAAAATATGAGGGACACAGAGAGGGGGGCAAAAAGTAAAAAGCTTGTAGGAGGGAAGGGATAAATTCCAAAACATGTCCACAAGCTGCACAGGCTACGCTTGCATCTGACACAAGAAAGGTATCAAAAGTGGGCAATAAATTCAAATTCTCACAATGGAGCTTCTGTTTTCATAAATCAAAGTCAGTAGATATGGTCATAACAATAAGTAGTACAAGAGTGGTTAAGCATTAACATTTGATCATGTACCCAAAATCCTGCAATGCTTATATTTCTAAATGCAGAACTTGATCAATTTAAATATTGTAATGGTGCTATTTGTTAAACATTGTTAATACCTTCTTAGACAATGTGATGTCATGTGCTAAATTACATTAAGTGGGGCTGGGGCTCCCTCTGCTGAGAACACAGCAATTATTTGCAAGCAATGTAAGGGAGCGGAGTGCAGACATTACTGCTATAAATACCCTATGTTTCACTGGTGTATGTATGCCTGAAGTACTCAGTTCAATTCCAGCCACAGGTGGAAAGCTGCACTTATCTTTGGTAGTAAGGAAAGCAAAAAGAGATGCAGCATTAATCTGGCAAAGGGGTTGAGGCAACAGTGAGAATACATTTGCCACACTTTTAAAATGAAATTCCTTAAAAGTTATCATTTTGTTTGTTTTATAATATAAAACTCAGCATCTAATCTTTTCATCAGAATTTTCTATAGATTTACTTTGCTTCCTCATATTAAAAAGCCCTATGTAAACAGAAAAAAATTGGATGACCCCAATCTTTAAAAAATCTCCAGAGCCAGTGCAGTGCTTAGAGTGCTGGATTGGGTACCCAAGAGCTCTGGGTTCTGGTCTCCACTAGGCCATGAAGCTCACCGGGTGCCTTTGGGCCAGCCACTCATTCTCAGCTTAACCTATCTCACAGGGTGGTCATTGCAGGGATAAAATGGATTGTAAGGATAAAATGGAACCCACGCTGCATTGGGTTCCTCACTAGAGGAAAAACGAGAGGTTTTAAATGCAATGTCAGAATATTAATAATAAAAATGGGGCAAAAAGTGGTTGGGGGGAGAATTTGTTTGAATTGGCCTGGACGTCAGCCATTCTGATATGCACACTTGAGTGAAATGTAATGCAATAGCAAGTCTCCTGCTACTACAATGTGGATCTGATCTTGTTATTGGCTTCTAGTAGTTTGCTATGTTGCTTCTGGGGACTCTGAGCGAGCTGATATTCAAAAAAGTTAGTACATTAGGAAGAGATCCTACCTTGCACGTCAAAGACCGAGTACAGGGTTTCTTGGTTTCTATGTCAATGACGCCACAGTAGATATCAGGATCAAATTCTCTCTCTGCTCAATGACAGGGGAAAAAACTGTTATGTGGTTTGTTCAGAAGCCTACTCTGTTCACTTGAGTGCATAAATAAACCCAATTTCACATTTCAGATATGGAACATCATATGGCCTGTAGATTTTTCTTAGGCCTAGGCCCTTATCCTGTACTATAATCCGTGGGACAGAACTTGCAGAAAGAGTCTCAAGCAGCATTCATGAAAACAGGTATGGGCCCTTTGTAGCACTCTAGGTGTTTTTGGCTACAGCAGCCTTCATCAGACACCAAGGGGTATTCTGGCCAGGCCAAAACAGGCCCTAAGTTGCCCACCTCTGCTTCAGAAGAAGGTTTGTACGGAGGGGGCAATCTGTAGTTTTCCACATGTTCTGGCCTATGATATGAGGTATCATATCCTGATATCAATCCAGCCTCCTCCACTCATGACCTGAATCACCACAGCTATCAATCAGCCATCTAGGTTCCCTCCCCTGCCCTCCTCTGTAATCTCCTGTGTTCAGAAGCATGCAGGCATCTCCAAGGAATCACATCCTATGCTTCAGTTCAGTGAGAAGGGATGTCTCTGTGTACGCATATGCATATGTATGAAATTAGTAAAGGCATTCTTCAGTTAACATAAACCTATTCTGGTTTCACAAGTATTGAAGATTAAGAAATCTTAGCAGAGTTCTTGAAAATACAGTGCTTTTTTACTTTTAACTATACATGCTTTCACTCAGCAAATCTTATGACTGTTTACACTAATAGTCAGATGCATGTAAAGTAAACACAAGCAGATGATGCACTTTCCTACAGTTATGACAATGCAGCTCACATGGTCTAAAAATCAACCCTCTTTTCAGATATTAGCTCACTGTCCATCAAAGCTTCCATGTTAAATACTGCATAATAACAAAGAACTGTGCATGGTCCTTTCAATCCTTGCTGGATATCTTTATACTTGCTGTTTCTTGCATAAGAAAAAAATTCATAATAATGAATTCAAGAAATAAAAATAGATTCAAATCAAATAATACTTTTGTAATATTTAATCTTTACTACAGCATTCATTGTATTTATGGTCCTCCTCATACATTACCTCAGCAATTGCAAACATGCAATTTTAAAGCTTTCTTTTTAAAATATATTATAAACATGTCATTTACTTTTTAATTATTGGTATTCTATATAAACACACATTTTAAAAAATTACCTGACAATCTTTTGTGTAAAAATTTCCTATTATTTGTACTCTCTTCTTGCTTTTTGTCCAAATATGGAGGCACAGAGAGAAGACCTTTACCATTCAGTATCTGTCCAGGGGAAGGCAAGGGTGGCTTTGGTATTGAGGGATTAAGGCCAATCTTTATTGAGGAGCTCACAGTAGTAGAACAGGTTGGACCAACAGCAGGTTTCAATAATGTACCATCTATCTTTGGATGTATTTTTTCCACTTTGACAGATGGCGTCATGCTGCAAGAAAGAAATACATATACATAATAATCACAGAATAACCACTCTCATCTAGATTTTATTTTATATTGAACCAATATTTAATCCAAAATGACTAGTCTATTCTATTAAGGAAAATCATGTACAATTTGTTGTATCTAGATATCCTGGTTGTGTGGGGTAATGGGGCATTTTACTCATTTTACATTACGGCTAACACCGCACACAGGGTGCAATTACTTCCAAATTTGCTGAGATCTTCAATTCAAAATGGGAACCTAAATAACAAGATTTTGGCTTGCTCATCTCCCTTTTATAAAATGCATGCACTGTGTCTAATATGTGTGTTTCCCTTTCTGAGTTATGCAACAAGGCATATTTAGCCATTTGCTTTCATGCAACCTCCTAAAAGATATTTGGCATAAATACCACCACTCCCTATGATTTTTACTATATACCATATAAGTTTTTGTGGAGTGTTCTTCTAGTCAATAATTTTCAGCTTTTTGGTACAACCTCTTAAAATCCCCATTTTCAGCCTATGACAAACTCAAATCTTTTTTCCACCCAAACACATTCCTTTTCTCTCTGGGCAGATTTTCTCCTTCATCTTATCGTTCTTTCCCTTTTCAAAAAGTGTTAAAAAAACTCTATGGTGGCAATGTTGCTGGTGTGGCCTTTCTTACAATGGGTTGTGCTCAACAGCTTAGAGACCCCTGTCCTATCAAGGGAAGGATCCTGAAGGCTCACACATGCTCTCCCCACTCCTCCTCTTATGCGCCCTTATTCCTTTCAGCATTAACTATGGTTTAGTGCCTGCACTAAATTTAATTCTAGACATTATTACTTTTAACGATGATCTGCCAGTCCACTTTCACCATCTGGTTTAATCTACTGTGCCTGTATCCACCACTATATTAATGGAATTGATGAGAAAAGGAAAGGTGCAGGGCAGCAGGAGAAAGAGTTGCACTACATTTGCACTGGATCCTGGTGAATTGCTGGGAAGTAGTCCTAGACCAAAATGAAATGAAACTTTCCCAAATGGACATATTTTTAAAGAGACACCAGTGCTAAACCTTAGTTTTTCCCCCAAAGAGGAAGCATACTCACATTTTATCATGGGGACCTTTGCTATGTACCAGATGCATTGGCCTGTTGTTTCCACTGATTGGCAGCTTGTCTTTGGGTGATTTCAACAACTTGGAACTGGAAGAGGAGGATGCACTAGTTCCCCCACCACTGGATGAGCGGCTGCTCGCACCTCCACTGCTACCTTTGTTTTTTGAAGACAGAGATGAAAAGAGGGAGAATACTGAAGAAGAAGGGGGAGTTAAAGGTGGCTTGCTGGAGGAGCTGTGTCTTCTTTCTGGAAAAAGAAAACAGGTGTCCATTAGTGATCACTGAGAAAACAGAAGTATTTTTATCAAGCAAGATAAAACTGCATCATCATCTTCCTTACACACAGGAAAAAAAACTTACTCCCCAAAACTTTGATATCTTGATCAATTTTTGCTACATTTTTGTGTCTCAGTGTGTCTACTGTTTTTATGTGTTGTTGTCATGTTACTGTTTATTTTATTTGTTGGCATTATTTTAATTATGTACAGTGCTGTATTTCATAAAGCACCTTTGCCCATACTTATGCAGAAGCTCTGAATATCAGAACTGCAGATAATGTAATTACACAGAGAGGGTTTCCTCTGTGGTGGCACTGGTGAATGTCCTCCTTCAGGAGGTATGCTTGGCACCTAATTTACCTAATCTGTGGGGCACCAGGTTAAAGCCTCTCTTTTTACACATGCATTTATTTATATAACCTCTCAGTCCATCTTTGCAATTGAAGCTGTAATTATTTTACTGGTGTTTTCTATTGTGCCAGTCACATGTTGATTTTATTGTACTCTGCTAGGCTTTTCAAACATTTACTTGTTAGGCTGTACACTGTCCTAGACTCTTATACGGTGGAGTGGAATCATTATTTTTAAAATAAATCAATGCATACATAAACAAACAGCAGTATGCATTAAAACAGCAACACTGGTTTGTGAGTTGCCTACAACCGTGATCATACAAATCACTCACAGCTTCCATCCCTTTGCTGTAGCTTGTCTTTTATGTCTCATAAATCGTCTCACCCTTTCCCAGGCTATCGCTTGATAATTGAAACTAGAAAGTAGAGTGGTGTGACACAAAAAGAATGCATTTGCTAAGCCTTCAATTCAGCCAAAAACTCACGCACAAAGTGTTCCTATGGTTCATAGGCCTTTACTTCAAATTCCCAGCTCCAAGCTTAGAAACGTGCTCCAATGACAGAGTTCACAGAATCACAGAATACTAGAGTTGGAAGGGGCAAGGAGGCCCTTGGGTTCAACCCCCTGCTACTGTAGGACACTAACTGGGGATATGGACTCAGATTATCCGTCATCCAAGTGGGTATGCAAAGAAACATGCTGGCTACTTCTCCAGGTCATAAGAGACACCTGAGAGAATGAAAAAGGATGACATGCCATGGGCTGGGGAAGGGAGGAGACTGGGTCAGCCAAGATACGACATAGGCCGGTGGGCTCCCGCCTCCTTCCCTCCTCTGCTAAAGCAGTGAAGCTAGACAGCTGAAAATGGCTGTCAAGCTGATTTGCTGGTTGGTGATCACCTCTGCATTCCTTCTATCTTTCATGGGCTGCCTGCAATTTTCCAAGGCCAGAGGTTTCCAGGCACCCCCACTGGAATGCATGCTAGGCAGCACCCTACTCCTACACAGTTGACTCAATAATGTGGGTCTAATATTGACCTACTATGTGATAATGACTACTGAAAAAACATGCAAAGCACTCTGATTACAACTAGAATTATTAATTGAAGTGTTTATGTTTGTATCCTTCAATTAAAAGGGGGAAATCACAACATCAATAAAATATATTAAGAATGGAACACTATAAAACAAAATAATAGTTAAAAAGGCAGTATGAACAGCATTTTTAGTAAAAAGAAAGCCAGCCATCAGTGACTAAAAAACTGGAAGAGCTCAACAAATCCACAAGCAGGGTGCCACAGCCAAGACCTCTCCCTTCACACCAGTTGGCAGGGATACCAGGAAGGGCCTCTGACACCAGCTTCAGTGTCCAAGTATGCTGCGTTAGAGAAAATGTTCCCTCAGGTACTGCAGTCACAAGCCATGAAGGGATTTAAAGACAAGCCCCAGAACTATGAATTATACTTGGAAATGGACCACAAGTTAGGACCTCATTAAGCAGAGAGATGTCTTTAAGACAGTCAGTCCCGGTTATTAGCCTAGTAGGTACATGTTGAGTTAGCCAACGTTACTGGGCTGTCTTAAAACAAGCATGGAGCTTGCTGGACAACTGAACGTGGTTCTCAGTAGTCTCTAATTTCACAAAAGCCTTGGTTGGCTTTTCATTACCCTGCTTCCAACCCTGGTTTCGGGGACAGGATGGGGATAATCCCTGCAGTTATGATGCACTTAAAGGTATTTGGAGCATTTTAGTAATTTATAACATTTTTATCTCACACTTAAGCCAAAAAGGCTCCCATCCCAGATGCGAAAATATAACAGTATCTCAGAAGCACAGAGCAGCAAGAGGGTGATTCCTGTCCTTAAGCTGAAAATGAAGGATGGGGCTTGTTTTCACACTGATGCTCAGTGCATTTGCAGGAATGAACCCTTCCTTATTTCCCAAGCTCCAATCTTGGGGTGAGAGAGGAAAGTGAAAAGTATCTGTAACCTGAGAATTGGACCTACAGCACAAGGCCAAGGTCAAGGCTACAGCAAGCCAAAAATTTGCTGGCTACAGCATGCTGCAGACACGCATGTGCACATCTGTCTATCTATCTAGATTGATCCACTACACCCTGACTGGCAGCTGAATATTCAAGCTTAATCCTGTAAGAAAATCATATTTTTGAAGGCAATATGAGAATGTTTTAGGATAATTCACAGGTACAAATAATTAATATTTCAGCCATTAAATGGTAAAGATGAATTTGAATTAGTGCCAGGACTGGTCAGAGCAGGAGTATAGGTTCTAGATGGTTTCAAACCACTGGAATTAATCATATTCCTCAGTTTCAAACCAGTGATCAAAACTAAACATTATATCTTTACTATATATTTTCATATAACCCCAGTCCTCTATAAGCTCCATTGGCTTCCCATCGAAGTCCAGGCTCAATTCAAGGTGCTGGTTATTACGGCTTGGGACCAGGATACCTTCTCTGCAGGGGCGCCCCGTCTATGGAATGTGCTCCCCAGAGAGGTCCGCCTGGTGCTGTCATTATATGTTTTTCGGCGCCAGGTTAAGACCTTTTTATTTAATCAATATTTTAATAAGTTTTCATATTGAATTTTATTACCATATTTTAATTTGCAGCCAGAGTGGGTTGCCAATTTATTTATATTATATTGTTTATGTACTTCGGAATTTTATTTGTGTAAGCCATCCTGAAGCTCTTGCAAAGGACAGCATACAAGTATCTTAAATAAATAAATTATAGTTATAACGTTTGCTTCTTTCTCTGCAAGTGCAAGATCTAGAAACCTTTATTTCAGTTTTTATCAGTTGTTACCTTAATAAAATGTGACATGATCTAGCAACATGACTTTAAATGCACAGCATTGTTGTGACACAGCACGATGCAGGAAAACTAAGCTTTGTAGCCGAACCAAGAGAATTAATTAAAATGTTTGGATAGTCTATGATTTGTCCTATGGGTGGTCCCTATATTGGGAATATACTTTGCAGCCACTGCATTCCTCATTACCTTGGGCATGGGTCCTCAAACTACGGCCCGGGGGCCGGATCCGACCTGCCGTGCCCATTTGGACCTGCCGTACGCTTGCCCACGCACGTGCCCGCCACTGCTCACCTTGCCCCATGCAGGGTTTGCTTGCTCGGAGAAAACAAGCCATTTGCTCGCTCGGAGAAAACGATTTCCAAGCAAGCAAGCAAGCAAGCAAGCAAGCAAGCAAGCCACTGCCTCGCCTCCTCTCGCAGCGCGTGCCCACCATGCCTCGCCTCACCTTGCCTCATTGGCCGCCCCGGCCCCCACCCCGGCGTGCACCCCTGTGCCAGCCCACGCGCCCTGCCCCTTTCTGGCCCACGCCCAGCACTGGCAGCTTCCCACTGGCCCCCTGGTAAAAAAGTTTGAGGACCCCTGACCTTGGGTATACTGTATGGACAGTAGGAAAATAAATATCTAAAACTTAGATCTAGAATATACTTAAGTTATGTATTTAGGTTCCATAATTATTATATAAGCAATAATAATCTTATCTCCTTTCTCCACAATATAACCTGGCCAGACCAGTTATGGAAGAATCCTCTAACAGGACAGTGATACGAAAAGTTCAACGGAGTTGTCAAAAAAGATTTAAAAGGACTTCGTTTTGTTTTCTATTGTGCAAGCTAAAAATATTCTGTTACAAAGCCATTTTGGAGGCTACATTTTGACAAACCGTGGTAAACCATGCTCACCATGGTAAGCCTCTGGCAATTGTGAAAGAGAAGCAGCCAGGCAGGGCTGGCCCAAGAAAGCCCCTGTCCTGCAGAGGTTCTTACTCCAGAACAGGAAAGGCTGAGCAGCTTTACGTGGATGCCAGCAAAAGCAGACCCACGGAAATGGCTCTAAGTAAGGTGAATAACTTAGTAGGCACACTTTCATTTTACAGCCTGAACATTCTGTTCCTCACAAAATCAAGACATTAGTAGGAAAATCTGCCTTCTAAAGAATGTAAGGACGGAGTTGTTACAATTTTAAAAAAGGTTTCTTTAAACTATACCCGTATATGCTATTTGTCTAGGTCGGCTGGTCTGTCTGTCTGCCTTCCCCAGATCTATTTTAGATAAAAAGAGGATAAGAGATAAAAACCCAAGGAAAAGTATGGGTTCATGAAGGCAAGTTTGAAGCTGGCACAGTATGTGAGTCTATAAAACATATTAATGGCTTAAATGGCATGGATGTTAGGATCAAATGCTTTAATTTGTAATTTCCCCTGTGTTTTGGCACATTACTAAATCTGCAAGCACTGCAACCTTTCTTTCTCTTAAAATTAACTAGTTGTTGTTTTTAAATCCTGCAATTGCAAATAAAGGGTATTTGATTCAGGATACAACTAGGGAAGCTATATTTTTACAATTACCTTGGTTTAACAGGCTTGGTTTAGTTCATTTTAACCCAGTTATATTGTTGTAACATATATAATCGCTACTGCTTAACTGTTCATTCAAAAGAGCATGCATAGAATAAAGTCCTCTTTTTTGACTTTTACCCACTACAGAGAAGATGGTGCTCTATTTAGGGAGCAATTCTATGGCCTCTAAACATTGTCTGAGGAGCCACAGGGCAGGGAAG